TTGGGCCGCACTTTCCAGGGGGCAGCAAAAAAAGCTGCACCCAAATGCCCAGGGCAAATGTCTTGTTAGCCTTGTGGCTAACTAAAAATCCGGGCAGGCTGCTCAGCTCCCTCGCGCGCCGCAGAGTGATGCTGGGAGCCGGAATATGACATCATATTCCCGCTCCTGGCATCACTCTGCGGTGCACGAGGGAGCTGAGCAGAGAGCTCACTAATCAGTGTTCCCTTGCCATTGCTGCCCGACTGCCCAGCAGCCCCACTAGACCCCGGGGAGAGGGAGAACCCCCCAAAGGTAAGGAGGCTGGGGGGGTTAAATTTAAAAAAAATTGTGTGTTAATGTGAGTGAGTGTGTGTGTGTCTGTTAGTGTGTGTCAGTGTGTGTCAGTGTGTGTGTGTCTGTGTGTCTGTTAGTATGTGTCTGTTACGGTACCCTCAGCATCAAATGTACAAACCGACGTTTAGTGAATACTCCCCTCTCGCAATAACACAGGCTTCATTCGTATCCAGTACAATCATGCGAACCGCAAGCAGGGAAACGCTGTAATCTCATGAACGGGACCTGTACGGACAATTCACTTCACAAGCTCCAAACTCACGAATCGCAAATAGTAGCCGAACGCATATATCTCCCAAGCGGCTAATAATCCCATCCAGCAGTCTCTAGTCGTCGGTAATAAATCCCCCCAATAACGAGACCAAGCTCCGCATTGAGTGGTAAAACCTGAACTGGCTTTACTGTGGGCTACCTGCCTGTATTTATGCAGGTCTCCCACTTGGTGGACACTCCCCTAGGGGACCAAATGGGAGACTGTAACATTAGACAGACATATGCCAGGTTAGGACCCACAGACACAGCATATTCCCAGCATGCATTAGTATTTCCTCCCCTCTGCCCTGGAGATAATTGAGAAGTAATTCAATTATCTCCATGACAGAGGCAAATCGCCATTTTAAATTCAACACAGAAAAACATATAAAAATATATAACTTTGCATTTGTCGAATGTTACCCATTCGTATCACATATCCCCAGATAGCCAGGATCTCAGTGCATATTATTGGCGAATAGCGCTCAGATCCCATATGTATAGTTCAATCGCCATGGAGTCAAAGTCTATTACAGTCTTTCGGTATGCGATTGACTCCATGGGAAGGCTATCTGGGGTAAGTCCATTCGTGCGTTTAAAACTCCCAAACGGCCGGTGTTCATATACTTCTGTCGATTGAGAAGGGAGGTCGGCGGCTTCAGCGGTGTTCGGCAGAAAAAGTGTCAGTTTTCAGTTTCATGAAATCGATGCCGAACACCGCTGGTCTTTCGCATGGTTTAAAATGGCCGCCGCCTCGTGGTCGACATACGAACGATGACCACCCTGTATTCGGTTTTAATTGAGAAGTGTCTGTGGTTAACCACAACGTTCTAATTGGGATAAAGAGGTTAACCAGCAGCACACTTCTCTTTTGGGTGGCTGTCCGTTCTGTAGTTTTGTTCGGCGGAAAAGTCAATTCACTGAACAGGGGCATAAGAACGGGTAATTCCACGAAAAGGCAAAACAGACGAACAAGCAATCCCAGTCTATACAGATGGATCTGTCTGTCTGTGTGTGTTAGTGAGTGTGTGTTTGTTTGTTAGTGTGTGTGTGTGTGTTTGTGTCTGTTAGTGTGTGTGTGTGTGTGTGTCTGTGAGTGTGTGTCTGTTAGTGAGTGGGTGTTTGTTAGTGTGTGAGTGTGTGTGTCTGTTAGTGAGTAAATGTGTGTCTGTTAGTGAGTGAGTGCGTGTGTGTCTGTTAGTGTGAGTGAGTGTGTGTGTATGTTAGTGTGTGTGTGTGTGTGTCTGTTAGTGAGTGTGTATGTCTGTTAGCTAGTGTATGCATATCTGTCAGTGAATGTGTGTGTATTTATAAGGCGGGGCAGTGGGGAAGGGAGGGGTGCCTGAGTTTTGTCCTGTCTAGGGCAGCACAAAACCAGGATACACCACTGGTGAGGCCCTGACTATAAAACCCGATAGGTGGGTGATTACGAGGCTCTAACTATGATTTGGGCCCAGGGGTGAAAATCTCTGTGTTGAGAATGGGGAGTTAGCCTCGCGGGACCAGCTACGTTGGATGACTAAGGCCAGCTCCTAACCCTAGATAGCCAGTTCTCTGACCCTAGACGGGGGCTTGATGAGGGGTTAATGTAAAGTATTTAGCGACACCCAAGTTGTGGTCTGTAAAGTACCTTGAGAAACTAGCGTCAGAGTAGGAGAGAAAAGAAGAGAGGGAAAGGAGGAGGACAGAAGAGGAAAGGAACTGTGGTTGAGGGATAGGAGAGAGAGAAAATTAAGTTTAACATAGTGTAATTCTTGGAAACATAGCTAATAGTATAGTATACTTAGGCACTGAGGGTGCTGAAGATTCCCTTGATAGCTACTATATATCTCTGAAGGAAAATTTAGGAAGGCATCATGCCATGAAAGAGTGGTAGTACCTGAATGAGCGAGGTTCGTTAGAGTCAGGAATGTCACAGATAGTGATTTTGAGTAAACGTATTACGAGTTGTCAAGTAGAGCCGTGCCCTGACGAGGCAAGGCGGGAAATCAAGCCCCCATACCCTAATACCCCATCGTGGAAATGTGTGGCTGTGTAACGGCAGAAGATTGAAATGTGACTGAAAACATATTTGTACTTGATAGAAACAGGAGACAATAATGAACCAGTAACTGTCTAAATGGTAGAATGCTGTTCTGACACCTGAATTAAGGTGCAGTGTATCATTAAAGTTATCTCTAACATATTATTAACCTCCTCTTTATTAACCATATTAGATTACACCTTTAAGCAGATTAAGTTACTTAATAGGTTGTAGATTAGCAGATGATAATGGGTAATATCAATTATAATATCAAATGCGAAACTTGTATAAATGTAATTGAGATTGGCAATTGCAATGTCAATCTGAACAGTCTAAAATCATCCGAAAAAATGTTCCAATGTATGTCGTGTATGTGTTTGACTTAAAAATAGGGCACACTTGCACAAAAGGAGGGAATTTAAACTCTAACGCAATTACAAAAAGTTTAGTTTAAATGAAAAAGACTGATGTTCCCTTCTTAACGGATAACAGGTATATAGTTAGCATATTCTTGTGTACTTACATTCCCATAATTAACTACCAGAATAGTGAGTGCACAAATTAAAATGGACAAACATTGTTGATGATTTACTCAAACCTAGCCGAACGGAACAATAAATGCATGAAATTACATATTGAATGAATGGTATAACAGGTGTATTGAGTGTTCGTTTGTTTGAGCTTTCGTGAGTTTGTTCGCATGAAATATGTAGCATGAATTGAGAAAATGTTGAACAGCGGGAATAGCCCGGACGCGGCTATTCTGGGTGATTACCTGGGCATTCGTATGTTTGGCGGTTCGTGCTGACTGGCGGGAACAGAGGAGAGGATGACGGAAACGGAAGTGCGGCTGGCGGGAAGCAGAAGTTTACGGCTGACAGGGAGATGTGAGCAGCGCGTGCCTTGGCAAGGTAGGATGGGGGAGTAGTGTTTTTATAGGAACACTAACTCCTCCCACAAATACAGGCCTTCGGTCTTAAACATATAAAAAAACACTTCCAAAAATTAATAAAAAAATATTTTAAAAAATGGGGATCAAATGCATCACTTTAAAAAGTGACAGTTCTCAGGGGGGCGGAGCCTGACCATTGAGGAAGATGGCAGCATAAACCTGTAGCTCCCTCTTCCCAGCATAATGAATCCGTGAACATCCGCGCACACAAGTGCCTAAACACCCCATGAGAACCTACAACTCCCACACCTCCCATCCATCGAGCACCTGTAGAGATGGGAGGAGGTAAACAAAAGAAGGAACAGACTCCACCACGATGATCCACCTGCAGCAAGAACAACGCCGGTCATCTTGCCACCAATACATGGAGGAAGCCTGCACAAATTCTGAAGGGAGTGAATCCAACAAAGCTCCGGACGCCCCTCTGACATTGCAAGACATGAAATCCATGCTCAAGGAAGCTAACACGGATATTAAGTTCCCCATGGCATCGGAGCTGGATAAACTACTCTCAGGCCTGAAAGAAGATATTGAGGCCTTGGCAAACAGGTCCAACCAGGCAGAGACATGCATCAACAATCTCACCGCCAAATCCCAAGCACACTCACAGGACATTACATATATCCATGCAAAATCGCAGCTATGGAAGACAGCCTCGAGGATCTATATAACAGATCCTGATGAAATAATATCCAGATCTGGGGCCTACCTGAAGCGGTCGCACTAGACGGCCTACACACCACACTCACAGGCCTGTTCAAGTCCATCCTGCCAGATGCCTCTGCTCATAGACTGGGCACATAGGACCCTCCAACCACCAGCCCTGAACCCAGACACCCCAAGGGACATGATAGTCTGCCTGCATTTCTTTAGGATCAAAGAACAGCTTCTCAAACTAGCCAGAGTAACCCCTCCACAAAACCAAGGGACCCGCCTGGCCTTCTTCCAGGACCTTGCCCCCTCTTCCCTGAAGAAATGGAGAGACCTTAAACAACTGACCCTCACACTCAACCAACACGGCATGACATATATGTGGGACCATCCATTTAAGTTAATGTGAGGAAGGATAACCAGATCCACGTACTGATGAACTCAGCTGAAATTATACCATTCCTAGAATCCCTGGGACTCACCCTGCTACCACTACCGCTGACCGCAAACATGGGTACAGGAGGCAAACAACGACCCCAGAGAAAGAGGCTCTTCAGATGTCACCGATGAATGCCATGCAAGAGACCGCCTACACACCCCGAAGTACAGGACTAATTACTGTCAAGACACCCCTCCACCTGAACTGGCCCGCAACCGGAAGAGTTGCGACGGTCTGTCAATTGCTCCGGAACTCCAGAAACTGGCAAGTTGTTCCCATCTCCCCTACCCCGGCCCTCACCCCACATACCCCAGATGTGAACTTCCCCCATGCATGCACAATGTAACCCTGGCCCCCAGACCTTGATCCCCCATGAAGTACCAAACCGCTGCCGATCTCACCCCCATCCGGGTGAGATCAGCAGCGGTTTGGTACTTCATGGGGGATCAAGGTCTGGGGGCCAGGGTTCCATTGTGCATCTATAACAAAGATCACTGCAGAACGGACACCACCACCCTTTTGAAACACAGGCCACAGCCCTCCACAGGACTCTAGCTCTTTGTCCCTCAGTAGCCATCAACTAACACCAAACAGAGAGGACCCTGACTAGGCTGCCCCCAAATCCGAGACCCATGGGCTAAGATCGCAAACCGTGGGTCTAAACTGTGTGTTTGTGATAAATTTATAGTATTGTGTTGTTGCCATCTAAAAAATACCTTTTAATGTAGACGAACCTTGTGTAATATATATATTAATTTGGTAATACCCCACACCGACCACCTTGCACCCCCAAGACGACCTGCAACTCCAAAATAAGACCGATTTACACACCCACCCTCCCTTAATCTCCCCCACTTTTTTTTTCTTTCTCACCCTCTTTTTCTCTCCCTCTCCTCTCTCTTCTCACCTTCCCCCCTTCTTCTTCTATTCCCCTCTCCCTCCCTCTGCCCCCTCTCCCTCAACGTGTCCCCCACCTCTTCTCTCCCCTGAACGCTACAACACTCCTGTTATAGAATTTATCTTGATTCCTAGGCTCAAGCTTACAGGTGTCATATAATGATATCCTATATTAAAATTGGCTAACTTGGACTCAGGAAATGCTTGATGCTTAAAATGACACTTAAGACCATATATGTCTAGTTCCGGGAGCAGATAGCCCCCACCTGAGATGCCTCTTCTCTAATCATTCTGTTCTTTCTCTTTCTCTGAACTTATTTGTTATATGTACATGACGTTTGTAATGGCACCCCCAGGCATAAAAGGGGTTAAAAGCCATTTAGGAGCTATTCCCTTCCAGATATACAGGCAGCTACTGTAGACACCATTCCACCGAACTGGAGAAGCATATGAATGCCATAAACAGCTGAACCGGAACCATACGAATGCTGTAAACAGCCGAATAGGAAAAACCATATGAATAGGTTTACACTCCTAGCAGTCAAACTGGAACAGCACACAGTAAATCCCCCCAAGAACGAGACAAAGCTCCGTGTTGAGGGTCAAGCAGTTAACAGCCAGAGCTGTGGGTTTATTGTTTTTATGTACACATTCTTACACATTAGTACCAACCACAGGGTTTTGGAAAACAACCAATAAACATGTACAATACACTCAGACACTCACACACAAAACCCTCCCCTCTGCCTGTGATACAATTACCTTACACAATGGGTAATGTAATTTTAACAGCCAGAGAAATACAGTTTTTCCACATTATTCATAACTTGAAAAGTATGCATCACATTTTCAGAATCAGCATACTCCAAATACAAACATATGTCAAAATCATCCAAATTGGTCCAGTGGTTCAAAAGATAGATCGTAGTCCTTTGTGACCAAAGGAAGCATGGCTTTTCTGCCCAAAACCAGTTCCACAGAGTCTTCTATCCTGGAGATAATTGGGAAATAATCAAATTATCTCCAAGGAGAGAGGCAAAACTTCATGGAACACATGGCAGCAAAAGACAATAAAACACATAAAAACATATAACTGTGCAGCCATTGCACAAAACAGGTACATTCAACATATCCCCAGATAGCTCAGATCTGAGTGCACATTATTACTGAATGGCGCTCAGAGTACACACACACAGTTCAATTGCCATGGAGCCAAAGTCTTTCCCATAGTCTTTCATTATACGAATGGGCTCCATGGCATAGCTATCTGGGTATCACCGCTCAAACAGGGCCAGCACCGTCTCCGCATGGGAAAATCAAGCATTTCAACATGGGGCCATAGTCTAACGGCAGCAGGCGGGCAACCAGGCTCCTCCAAAGCACAGTGGCGAGATTGGTCTTGTCACAACATTCATCCTTATGTCTTATCTGTACTCCTTTTACCTGTTCACCCCCTTCCTACTAGTGTCCTATGAGTATTTGCACGTAAGCACTTACTTTTTAATGTATAAAAACCCAGCTGACGAATAAAACGGCAGAGGCTTATTTTGAATACCAACAGGAGTCTGGTGTCTAATTCGCGCTCCTTCTAGTGCATTTGTAATAATAATTTGGGATTCCGCTGAATATAACAAAGATCAATATTTGGATCTATATCAATTTGGTGCCGTGACCCCAGGTTCTGACAGTCGAGAGACTCGGACACTAGCGTACAGGTGGAAGTCCCTCTGACAGTGAAATCAGCTGCAGCAAGGTAAGAAAAACTTTTTTATACCTTTATCATTTTCACTCTCAGATCCACGTCCTACTGGTCTGTCTGGGTAAGGAACGACTTAAAAACATCTGATCTAAATAACTTGTTTTCTGTGGTATTATGGTTATATTCGGGTGGATGTTGTGTTATGTCTTGTGAAAGGAATCTTGAGATAGTAGAATATATCTGTGGGTTTTAAGTTATTTTTATTGTTTGCCTTGCCATTTGGTTTATTATTTGAGTTAGAATCATCAAAGGGCAGATCTCCTGATCTGTGTTTAGAATAACAAAGACAAAACTGTGAAAATTCCACTGCAGCGGTCCTAAGTGTTTTATACACTGTTTTTGTACAGTTTGTCTTGGGTAAGGAAGTAATTAACCCTTACAAATTTATGTTGGGAAGCTCTGAAAGCACTCAAGGAGGATTTACGGCTTTGACTATTGTCAAACATCACAAAGGACAAGGAGCAATTAAGAATGTTAAGAGGTTACTTAAGAAAGCTGGCATGCCCTCAGAGGGCACTCTAGACCGACATATATGGAGTGAATTTATGGAAAATTACAGAGGTTGGTTAGAAGATAATGACTTATTAGAAGTCGCAAAAAAATGGCATGATACTGCTGTTGAATTAACTAAATGTGGTTGTAGAGAAACCACCAGAAAAGGTGTACCATATTATCAATGTTTTGACCACTCTCGGTCCCAGAGTAGACAAGATCCTGGGAAAAATCTTGTAAACCCACCCCTTTACCAGGATAATGTAGGGACTCCTTTGGTCCCTAAAGACCAGACAATTTCTCTTTTATGGAGATCCAAACCTCTCTTTCCAGTAGTATTATGCAGTGGGACTTCATATGGTTCCCACTGCATAATACTACTGGAAAGACCTATGGGTTCATTACAGGAGGAGGGAAGTCCACCAAACTTATGGGAGCCCCTAGTTGCCTCCACAGACACCCCAGTGGGGCCATTAGCTCCACAATTTACTACTCCCATGATACCCAAAACTGAGAGCGTATACCATGAGAAGAGACAGCCGAGCTCAGGTATCCAGTACTGATAAGAATATAAGCCTTGGACACCCAATGAACAACTGGCAAATTAATTTGCTGCCAGATGTTGAAATGGCCCCCTTAGCTCTAGTCCAGTCTCTATCTACCATTCAAGCTACTTACCAGTGTACTTGGATGGATTTAAAACAGATTGTCATCCTAAAAGCTGGACCCATTTGGGCTAGAATTATTGCTAAATATACTGATTCACATGAGGATAGCCTCAGAAGAAGCAACATGCAAACAGATGAATGGTTTAGAACCAAGTCTGCATCTGGAGCATGCTATGTCACTGCAATGAGAGAATGGGCTAAAGTAAAGACAGATGAACTAGCCCATAAATTAGGAGATATAGTACAAGGGAAAGATGAATCTGTGGAAACATTCTTCACCAGACTACTGATGGCTTGGGAGGCACTGGGTTACAATGATATTGTAACCACTTCCACCAGACTGCTGGAATTGTGGCAGGAAAGGACACATTAAACGTAATTGCAGGTGTCCTCCTAAAAATAGAAACCTCCAGTATTCTAACGATAACTCCCATGACAGCCAACCATCTCCACCACCTCCCCCTCCCCAATAGTAAACTGGCAAACCAGTTTCCCTACATACTATCAATATCCCTGACTCTGCAGGACCCCACCCATTATCAATGTTACACTGCCCGGGGACCGAATAGTCCCTTTCCTGTTGGACACTGGCGCTGCTAAATCAATGTTACAGGAAAAATATGTGTTCCCGTATGAGAAATCTAATGATGTATTATTATGTGTAGGGGTGGATTACTTCCCCTGGATTTAAAAGAGGGGAGTGGGGATAGTGGGAATGGTACTTGTACTTCTGATCTTTTTGTAAATTTACTGTCACCAGATGTGTTAGCTAACGCCCAGGTACCCCATGATTGTGCAGCACTAATGGCACAAGAGACAGCAGGTTTTTTTCGCATGTAATTGATTCTCCATTATCCAATGTAAATTTTGAGTTTTTGTAGATGGTCCCAGATATGCTAATGAGAAGGGTAATTTCCACACTGGATATGCGGTAGTCTCTGCATATGAGGTAATAAAAGCTGAACCACTCACTCCTCACTGCTCTGCACAGGAGGCAGAGCTGAAGGCACTCACAGTAGCGTGTAAAATGGCCTCTGGTAAGACTGCTAATATTTATACAGACTCTCGCTATGCCTTCAGTATAGCCCATGATTTTGGCCCTATATGGCTGGCTCGTGATTTTAGCAGGAACTCCAATCAAGAACTCTGAAGCCATGAGTGCACTTATGGATGCTATCCTGCTACCCACTCAAGTAGGCATCATCAAGGTGGCAGCTCACGTGAAAGTCACAGATGAAATCTCAAGAGGAAATCACAAAGCAGACAAAGCTGCCAAGCAAGCAACAATTCAAGTTCATCCCTCTATAGGTAATACCATCCTACAAGTTGTTCTTACAGATGACACCATTGACTACAATATACTGTTGAGCTTACAAAGACAGGCAAGCAAGGAAGAACATGACCTTTGGAGGAAACAAGATCCAGAACCTGATGATGACAGAATGTGAAGAACGGTAAAAGACTGTGTTTGCCACAAGTATTGTACCCCATGATGGTCCAGATTGCCCATGGACCTACACATCTATCCAAGATGCACATGAACCGCATAGTAAACACCCATTGGGTAGTACCTGGATTTACTGTTGTAGCAGCTAAGCACACCCAAGTTTGCATGATTTGTGCTAGAAACAATCCAGGACAGGCTG